CCTTCCGTTGTCCATAGTTACATCCTCTCTCCTTCGGTGGTTTGGGTATGTTCTTCCCTTCACCTTAACAACCTGCCCTGTCCTTCTCAGGACCAACCATCTTCCAAAAACAGTCCCTTTACTTAAGAAGTCCTGATTGCCTCCCCCCCCCTCCCATTTTTCTACACGGGTATTGTTCTTTTTTTTTTTAATATATTTTTTATTGATTTCAGAGAGGAAGGGAGAGGGAGAGAGAGAGAAACATCAATGATGAGAATCATTGATTGGCTGCCTCCTGCATGCCCCACATAGAGGTTCAAGCCTACAACCCAGGTATTGTTCTAGGATTCTTACTGATTCTGATAGATGTTTAGACCGACCCCCCCAACCACGGTCCCTCCAGGGCAGGAACCCCGTTCGCTTTTGGTCCTCTCCCCAGCGCTTCTGCAGTTCCTGGAGCGCAGCAGGGCACCCACGATCGCCTGTGACCAGGTGAGGCTCCTTCCAGGGCTGAGAGCCGGGCGGGAGGCCCCCAGCACGGGGGATCGGCGTTCACCTGGGCCCCCCGAGGGCCTCCGCTAAATGAGCCGCGGAGGGGAGGAGCAGTCCTGGGGCAGAGCGAGGCCTGGGGCCAAGAGCCTCCGGGGCGGAGGGACGGGAGGCCGCCTGTGCCGGAGGAGCCACTTTTTCGGCGCCGCTTTCGTTGCATTGCTCAAACCTGGTGCAAACCCGAGCTCACAGCGTGAGTCAGCGGGCGCGGCGGCGGGAGAGGGAAGGTGGGCGCAGAGATCGGCGCGCACCCCGAGGCCTGCACCGTTGGTGGGAAGGACACCCCGAGGGCGGCCCCCGACCCAGCCCCGCAGGTGAGCGCGGGAGCCCGCCGTCCTCTCCTCCCCCGCCCCCCCATCACCCTCGGGCGCCGCCACCGCCTCCACCGCGCAGGTAACCCCCGGCCGGCCGGCCGCCCTCCCCCGGCCTTCGGGCCCGCGCCGCCCCACGTCCCCGGGGCCTTCCCCCCCGCGGCCCCGAGCCCTCGAGCACGCGCGGGCCCGGGAGCCTTTGTCCCCTCCCCGATGGCGCTGTCGCCCGGCCCATCCCCGCGCCCCGCGCCCCGCGCACGCAGCCCCGAGGGGTGCGGGGCTCGGCCGCCGCGGGGGCCTGTGCCGTCGGAGCCCGCGATCGGGTGGGTGGTGTCGCGTCCCCGGGGTGCGTGTCTCCCCGGCCCGGCCCTCCCGGGCCTGGGGAACCCCGAGAGCCCCGGGAGCCCCGCGATGGCGTTGGCGGAAGTGGAGCCCCGCGCGGAGGGAAAGGGCCTCTCTGGCCCCGCGCCTGGCGCGCTCGATCGCTCGCTCTACAACCGCCCCCCCCCCCCCCCCCCATCAGCTCCTCCGGGCGCCCCGCGCCGGAGCCGCCGAGACCAGATAGCGTTCTTTCCGCAGCGCTTTTCGCAGGTTTGATGGCTGATATTCCCATGTCGTACACTGTCCCTGGTGAAATGTGCAGATCGGGGGCCGACCCAGCCAACCCCCGTGGGACCGTTGCCATCACTCCAGAAAGTTCCTTCGGGGCCTCCTCACCCCCCCCCCCCCCCATCTCGAGCACAGCTTAGGAAGGTTAATGTGCTACATTAGTTTTGCCTGTTGAACTTCAGCAAATGGGAGCCTTCAGCAAGCACTCCTGTTTCTAATAATAGGGTTCAAACGGTCGTTGTTGGCCAAGCGTCTCTGGTGCTTTCTGAGCTTTTCAGCTGCTTTAGGCCGCACTGCTGGGCAGGCACGGGCCATCGAGAGGCTCTTGAGATGTGCTGTGAGTAGACACACCTAATCTCTGAAGACTTAGGGAAAGAGAGAGAGAGAGAGAGAGAGAGAGAGAGAGAGAGAGAGAGAGAATATGAATGTAGAAGACCTCACTAATGAATTCTTACAGTGATTACGAGATAAAATGAAAGTTCTTTGGGTACACTGGGTTCTGTAAGATGGTTAAAATGAACTCCATCTGCTTCTTTTTGAACATGGCTACTAAAGAATTCCAAATCACGCAGAGGCCTCGTGTGATGTTTTTATTGGCCAGCACACAGGGCAGCCTACACATTCCATTTTGCAGACCATTGGTTCTGCTCCCTGCCTGGGAGAGAGTAGGAAAACGTGTCTTCCTTCACGCAGGACAGAAAACATCTGGATTTCAAGGAAGTAGCCTCAAGAGCCTGCCTTTTCCGGCTGCTTTAAAACTTTGCTTCAGGCATACTTGTTTACTGAAAAGAGGTAAAAAGGACTGGACATGTCTTTGGCATTAAGCGACCTTTCCAAAGACTTGGTAAAATGTCGAATGTGTTTTGAAAACGGTTCTTGTGCTTTCGAAAATATTGAAAACTAGTCATTGCCTACACCCCAACCGCCTAAATATATTAAAATTCAGCATTTGAGTGCGCTTTTGACCAGTCTTTAATTAAAAAGTAAACAAACAGCCGAGGCCGGTTTAGCTCAGTGGATAGTGTTGGTCTGCAGACTGAAGGGTCCCGGGTTCGATTCCAGTCAAGGGCACGTACCTTGGTTGCGGGCACATCCCCGGTGGGGGGTATGCATGAGGCAGCTGATTGATGTCTCTCTCATTGATGTTTTTGGCTCTCTATCCCTCTCCCTTTCTCTCTGTAAAAATTCAATAAAATATATTAAAAAAAGTTAACAAACATAGGTGAGATGATACTATATTCTACTCTGTTCATATAACATAAGCATATCTTATCTGGAAAATTCGTAGACTTTTTTTAAATATATACTTTATTGATTTTTTTACAGAGAGGAAGGGAGAGAGATAGAGAGTTAGAAACATTGATGAGAGAGAGTCATCAATCAGTTGCCTCCTGCACACCTCCTACTGGGGATGTGCTCCCAACCAAGGTACATGCCCTTGACCGGAATCGAACCCGGGACCCTTCAGTCCGCAGGCCGATGCTCTATCCACTGAGCCAAACTGGTTTCGGCTTAGACTTTTTGACAACCACATGTGACTTCGCATGAATACACGTCAGTTTTCTATGGGATTTTTGGGGGGACAGTTTTTGATTTTGCTAACTTTTACAAATCGGAAGTCCTTTTAATAGCGTGCCAGTACCCTAATAAGATACAATCACAGCACTGCTTAGTTGCCCCCTTCATTGCATAGGAAATGTGAAGTCCAAGAAGGCAGGGACCGTGACTTTCACCCCCAAACCCCTGGCCCATGGAACATGCCCAGCATATATAATAGACATTTAGTAAACGTTGGTGAGGTGATTGAATGGGGGAGGAGGTGGCTCTGGAAAATAACAGCTCACTTCCTTTTAGCACTGTCTTCTGCCTCACACCTCCATAAGGCAGGCCCTGACAGGATCTCTGTGTAAACACAGGTAGAGAAAACCGAGGTTTAGAAAGGTTGAAGTTGCCTGGGCTCATAGCTGTAAATGACAGAGCCAGCGTTTGAATCTAGGCTCTCTGACTCCAGAGGAGGGCACTTATAGTGGAAGAAGTGGCCGGTGGGAAGGTAAGGGAAAGAAATGAGCACTATAGTGACTACTTGAGCCAGTAGGAGTGGAAAGAGACGAACATTCAGATCCATTTTGGATATGCATTCTGGGTTTGGATTGAGAATCTTTTTTTTTTTTTTTTTTAAATCAATCTTTATTGTTCATATTATTACAAAGGTTCCTCATTTCTTTCCCCCTCCACCAGGTTCCCACCCCACCCTCCACCCCCTCCCCATCCCCCATTGTCCTCATCCATAGGTGCACAGTTTATGTTCAGTCTCTTCCTCCCTCCCTTTCCCCGACAGTAAATCCCTTTTCAGATAGTAAATCAGTTACTTAGCATTTTCTCATATCAATAATACCTCCACATGCCCAATGATACACTTCACACAAAAGACATTTCCAAATAGGTCAACTAGACTGGATTGAGAATCTTTTTTTAAAATATATTTTATTGATTTTTTTTTTTTTTTTCAGAGAGGAAGGGAGAGGGAGAGAGAGCTAGAAATGTCGATGAAAGAGAAACATCGATCAGCTGCCTCCTGCACACCTCCCACTGGGGATGTGCCTGTAACCAAGGTACATGCTCTTGACTGGAATCGAACCTGGGATGCTTCAGTCCGCAGGCCGACGCTCTATCCCCTGAGCCAAACCAGTTAGGGCTATTTATTTTATTGAATTCAGAGAAGAAGGGAGAGGGAGATAGAAACATCAATAATGAGAATCACTGAATAGCTGCCTCTTGCACATACCCCCTGCGCCACTGGGGACCGAGCCCACAACCCAGGCATGTGCCCTCTTACTGGAATTGAACCTGGAACCCTTCAGTCCACAGGCTGATACTCTATCCACTGAGCCAAACCGGTTTTGGCAGAAACTGGTATTTTTATTCCATTTCACAGATGAAGAAACAGGCACAGAATGGATTAGCTTGCCCAGGTACAGCTTGTACCGCTCTGTCTGACAACAGTGCCTGATCTCATAAATTTTACCATGCCTCTGAATCCCAGAGAAATCTATTTTCTCATGATGAAGTTTGTCATATGACAGAGTTAGGGGTAAATGGAAGACCAGGGCAATGGAACCAGCCCCTTGCTTGTAGAAAATATCCACAGCTTCCTGCATATCGACAAAAATAAAAAATCTAGAGGATATGACATTGTTTCAAAAGTTTCAGTCCTGGCTGGGTAGTTCAGTTGGTTAGAGCATCATCCGGATATGCCAAGGTTGTAGGTTCGATCCCTGGTCAGAGCGCATACAAGAATCAGCCAGTTGATGCATAAATAAGTGGAACAAAAACTCTTTCTCTCAAATCAATCAAAAAAATATCTGAGGGTTTAAAATTTTTTTTTTAAAAAGTTTCAACTATTTAGATAGGAAAATGCTGTGTGCTTTTGACATTCTGGTTTAACACACTCTCCGCTTTACTGGTTTGAGAAAATGTTTCTCTCCCCTGACTCTTCATTTCATTGCCTTTCAGATTCTGTCTGGGTGCTGCCACCCAGCCACTCCTCTGCCAATGAAGTACATCCTAGTCACCGGTGGGGTGATCTCCAGCATTGGGAAAGGGATCATTGCGAGCAGCATTGGGACGATTCTAAAGTCATGGGGACTCCGAGTCACCGCCATCAAAATCGACCCCTATATCAACATTGATGCAGGCACTTTTTCACCTTATGAGCACGGTATGAAAGAGATCCACTTCCTCCCTTAGAAAGCGCTGAGTTAAATTGCAGTTCCTTCTTATATGTTGGTTAATTTCGTTAGGATAGAGTTCCAGAAGTAGAGTTGCTGGATTTTATGCTATGAATGTGTGAATGTTCTCATGGTCATTGATGCATTGTTCAGATTGCTGATGGCTCTCAAATCAGTCCACCCTTTTTTTTTTTTTTTAAATATATTTTATTGATTTTGTACAGAGAGGAAGAGAGAGAGATAGAGAGCTAGATACATCGATGAGAGTCATCGATCAGCTGCCTCTTGCACACCCCCTACTGGGGATATGCCCGCAACCAAGGTACATGCCCTTGACCGGAATCTAACCCGGGTCCCTTCAGTCCCCAAGCCGACGCTCTATCCATTGAGCCAAACCGGTTTCGGCAGTCCACCCTTTTTGGAAAACTGTGTGAGAATACCATTTTCTTTCTTTTTTTTTTTTTTTTTAAACAATTTAAAAAATATATTTTATTGATTTTTTTTACAGAAAGAAGAGAGAGGGACAGAGTTAGAAACATTGATGAGAGAGAAACATTGATCAGCTGCCTCCTGCACAACCCTACTAGGGATGTGCCCGAAACAAGGTACATGCCCTTGACCAGAATAGCACCTGGGACCTTTCAGTCCACAGGCTGACACTCTATCCACTGAGCAAAACCAGTTTCAGCAAGGACACCATTTTCATTGTAGCTTTTGCAGTATGGATTATGTTTTGTTTAGTCACAAAGGTAATAGATTTCTCTTAACATCTTATCGTTAAGAGAAAATTTTAAACAATATAGTATATATTGACAATATAGAATGACATGAAGGAAATTTCCCACTTCTTGGAGAGACTATTATCAATGTGGACATTATAATGTATATAGTAATTATTTTTCAAAGCATTAGCCCTGTCCTGACCAGTTTGGCCTGCAGATTCAAGGGTTCCGGGTTCGATTCCGGTCAAGGGCATGTACCTTAGATGCGGGCACATCCCCAGTGGGTAGTGTGCAGGAGGCAGCTGATCGATGTTTCTCTCTGTGATGTTTCTAATTCTCTGTCCTCCCCTCCTCTCTGTGAAAAATCAATTAAAAAAAAAGCATTAACCCTTAAATACTTTCTTTTTAAAAATTGTACATACAAGCAGGAAAATGCATAAATCATAAATGTACCATTTGATGAAATGATTATACTGTGTGATCAACCCCTAGATCAATATACAGAATATCCATTTGCCTCCAAACCACCAGGGTAACCACTATCCTGTCTTTTAACACCATAGGTTAGAGTTGCTTGTTGTTGTTTGTTTGCTGTTGTTTTTTATTTCAGAGGAAGGGAGAGGGAAAGAGAGATAGAAACAGCAATGATGAGAATCATTGATCGGCTGCCTCCTGCAAGCCACCTACTGGGGATCGAGCCCAAAACTTGGGCATGTGCTCTGACCGGAAATTGCACCATGACCTCCTGATTCATGGGTCCATGCTCAACCACTGAATCACACTGGTCAGACTAGTTTTTGAACTTCAAATGAATTGAATCTCACAGTCACATTATTTTTAATCTAATTTTCTTCTTAAATATTTATATTTTTATTGATTTCAGAGAGGAAAGGAGAGGAGGAGAGAGAGATACAAACATCAAAGATAAGAGAGAATCATTGACCGGCTGCCTCCTGCATGCTCCACATTGGGGATCAAGCTCACAACCCGAACATGTGCCCTGACTGGGAATCACACCATGATCTTCTGGTTCATAGGTCAATGCTCAACTGCTGAGTCATGCCAGCTGGACTTTAATCTAATTTTAAAACTTAATATACTGTGGACATTTTAATATATTCTATACTCTTAAAAATTGCACAGTGCCCTGGCTGGTTTGGCACAGTGGATAGAGCATCAGCCTGTAGACTGAAAGGTCCTGGGTTCAATGCTGGCCAAAAGCACATGCCTGAGTTGCGGGCTTGATTCCCATTGGGGGTTGTGCAGCAGGCAGCCAGTCAATGATTCTCTCTCATCATGGATGTTTCTCTCGTTCCCTCTCCCTTCCTCTCTGAAATCAATAAAGATATGTTAGCCCTAGCTGGTTTGGCTCAGTGGATAGAGCGTCGGCCTGCAGACTGAAAGGTCCCAGGTTTGATTCTGGTCAAGGTTTTAGACACATCCCCAGTGGGGGGTGTGCAGGAGGCAGTTGATCAATGTTTCTCTCTCATTGATGTTTCTGACTCTCTATTCCTCTCTGTAAAGAATCAATAAAATATATTAAAAAATAAAATAAAATAAAAGGTTTCTGATAAGGTTTGTAAGCTCGTCAACCTTCTTTTTTCTGTGAACTTTCTGCCATAGGCATAAATGATAGACTTTTCTTAATTAGGGGGAGTTCAAGTCTTACCAGGTGGCTTTAGAACACTGGACTCCCAATCAATGTCCCCAAGTGACACTGGAGACCCAGAGACATGGCAAATGATTAAAGCAGGTATTTCATGTGATTAAGTCTGCATCTATATCCTTTTTCTTGGTGCTGCTGTGTAGGTGGCTTATTGCACAATTTGGCTCTTCTTTCCCCAAGTAGCCCGTGGGCTCGCTGGGGCCTGCTTTTCATCTCTCATCTCTTTACCTGTCACTTTCACCAAGACGGCAATCAATTAAGCCTTTTTATGCCAATTCCAGAGTACAGGATCTGGATGCTTTGAAGTAAATTGCTATTAGTTTTTAAAATTGCTGTTTTAAAGCCCCCTTTTCAAATGATACATGATGATTTTGGAAAGCTAACTCTTGAAGACAGAATTTTAGTTAAGTATGAAAAAAAGCACAATAAGATACTGGAATTTTTTGATGCATTGTAAAGGCTATAATTGAATTGTTAAGTTTTCTCATCAAAATAATGAAATGGTTGGAGCATCTTCCCATACACAAATAAATAAACAAACACATTAATTAATTAATTAAAATAAAAATAAAAAGATTGCTGATTAGATTTCCAGTGAAGGCACCTACCTAGGTTTCGGGTTCCATCCCCTGGAGGCAAACAATTGATGTTTCTCTCACATCTCTCTCCCCCTTCCTCTCTTCCTCTCTAAAAATCAATAAACATCCTCAAGTAAGGATACAAAAAATGAAATGGTGATAGCATATAGTTTACAAATAAGTCTCTTAGCAGTATTTTAATAAAATGTGCTCATCTTTGAAAAACAATCCACTGGAAGCAAATTTGACAATTTTACTTTGCCTTTTTATTCTAGGAGAAGTGTTTGTCTTAAACGATGGTGGAGAAGTTGACTTAGACCTTGGAAATTACGAAAGGTTCTTGGATATCAATCTTTATAAAGACAACAACATCACCACTGGGAAGATATATCAGCATGTGATCAATAAAGAGAGGCGCGGTGACTACCTGGGGAAAACTGTACAAGGTACTGCATGGCACAAACATTAGGCAGCACTGTGTGCTGAGTCTCCACACCAGGTCCCTGCACTCTGCCAGTTCTAACGCTCCTGAAATCCTGTGTTCTTTTCTTTTTCATTTTCCTTACAGATGTCAAGTTCATCCTCCGAGTTCCTCATTTATTTTCATCAGTCTTTTCTCTTTTTTACTAATGCCATAGTTTCCCTTAGTCAACCTCCCCCCGCCCCCTGTCTCTCATTCATTCATTCATTCATTTATAAAATCTATGGTGAACCATTTATTCATCTTTTTTTTTTTTTACATGATTAGGGTGTATTTTTTTGGTTTGTTTTTTGTCTACCTTTTATTGAATGTGTTCTTTGTTCTTGTGTCTTTGCATGCATGGTGATTGTTTCCTCTTGAAGGAGGACAGCCTTGGAGAGGTGTGGTTCAGGGTTCGGATTCTGGAGAAGGCCGCCCATAAATGAAAGAGTCTAGAAAAGTATTAATTGGGGGGGGGGGAATGGAGGGCCAGGCGGGAGCCCACCTCTAGGCGGAGGACTACCATTGCTCTGGCCTTGCTATCTCTTTTATTAAGGTTATGAGATACACCCATATCCTTTAGGCAGGGAATTCCAATAATAGACAATGGCAGTAATTTACATAAGACTAACAGGTGGAGGCTGCTTTAACTACCAATGTCTCAACTAAACAATGAGTGATTAGCTCCAACCATTCAGAGCAATTAAGGTTGACCAGCCTTCAGGATTCCCTTTTCACATTTCCCTGTTAGTGACAATGATGGGTTTCCTGCAGAGAGGGACTGGTGGGTTGAACTGGAATGGCAAGTAGTATAGTCTGACCTTTTTTCACCAGCCCTTTCCCTAGATGGTATGGTTCTCTTTTGTCTTAGAAGAGATCCCCTCCCGGAACCTCTGAAGTTTTGTATTCATATGTTCCTACATGATAGGGTAAAGGTGATAATTCCCCATCCCCTTAAATCACTTTCATATTGGAACCAATTGAGAAACAGATGTAGATCAGAAGAGCAACTATATTATTGCCAAAATTAGACGTTGTGGCACAGATCTCCAGTTCAACTGTGTTTTCTTTTCTTTCTTTCTTTTTTTTTTTTTTTAAATATATTTTATTGATTTTTCACAGAGAGGAAGGGAGAGGGATAGAGAGCTAGAAACATCGATGTGAGAGAAACATCGACCAGCTGCCTCCTGCACACCCCCTACCTGGGATGTGCCCACAACCAATGTACATGCCCTTGACCGGAATTGAACCCGGGACCTTTCAGTTTGCAGATCAACACTATCCATTGAGCCAAACCGGTTTCTGCTCAACTGTGTTTTCAAATAGTTTTCCCTGAGTGTAGGTATTGGGAAAACCCGAGGGAGGGAGAGTCGCTGCCTCATATCTGCCATGTCCGAGTGATGGAGGAGAGGGCAAGGCCCAGCCCTGGATCCTGAACGCTGATCCCTATGCTGCTGGCATGCAGGCAGAACCCGGCCAACCTCATCCTTCCAGAAAGGGTGGGCCAGGCATGCCATCTGGTTCTTCCAAACGCACCAATCAAAGCCAGCTTTCTCTTGCCCGCAGACTCTGCGGGTGTAAGGTGGAGCAGGTGACGGATGCAACTTTGCCTCAGCTTCCTGAATGCCACCGTTCCTACTTCCTGCCATCACATTAGGTTAGGTGGCTGGGCTGAATCCCAACACACCAAAAAGGATGTCACCTTTTTGTCTCTTTAGTTGAGATTGCCAACTTCAGGCCTGCTCACCACCCAAGGGACTCCTTGGCCTCACATGCTTGTGGAATGCCACCTTTCCCCTCTTCAGCTGACGTTCACTGGCGCCTGGTCAGCAGGCATACCTTGTCTATAATCTCTTGAGTGTCCCCCTCCCCATTGGCTGGTGGTCTGGCCACTCTCCATCCTTCTTGCCCGTGGAGCCTCGCATTCAGCATCCTGGGCAGCCCTCTTTGGCACTATAGGTGTTTTCTACTTGCATCGAAGATGGCATTTCTGCTTTCTGTTTCTCATTCTCTGGGGTTGGTCGGTTTCAAGAGAAAAGGCATAACGTTTAAATGCGTGAACCCAAACTGCCCCTGGAGTATTAATTTCAGTGAAGGAACATGATAGCATTAGGACTGCAGCTTGTCCGATTTGCCAGGTAGCTGTCGGTTATTTGCGAGATCTAAAGATCGGATGCATTGCCTTTTCCTGACCATGAAATAAGCTTTTGTACTCATTCTTTCTGCAGTTGTCCCTCACATTACTGATGCTGTCCAGGAGTGGGTTATGAATCAAGCCATGGTGCCAGTGGATGGTCACAAGGAGGAGCCCCAAATATGCGTTATTGAGGTAAGCATGGGGCGTTTCTTATTAAGTTTACTAGAAGCCCAGCACACAAAATTGTGCAGCCCTGCCCACCCGTGCTGGGCTTTGGTCTTTAAGGCGTAGGGCCACAGGCCTTTTATAATATAGATGTCCTTCTGGGTTTTGAATCATCTGATCTCTATTCATTCAACAAGTTTATAAAGAGGATATCCTGTGTGCCAGGCATGGGCTAGGATTAGATAGTTCCTGCCCTTGTGGTCCCACATCAGTGGGCAAGGTTGGCATTAAACAGGTGAGTACTCCTGGGGTGGGTGTACCGCAACCTGCATGCGGAGACATCAGTTGCATATAAAGTCAGTGTTAGGGCCTCCTGTGTGCCACGCCTGGGATGGGCAGTCTCTGGCCTTGAAGTGCCTGCAGACCTCCCTGTCTTCACACAACAATGTGTTCTAGCCGAAACTGGTTTGGCTCAGTGGATAGAGCATCGGCCTGCGGACCGAAGGGTCCCAGGTTCAATTCCGGTCAAGGGCATGTACCTTGGTTGTGGGCACACCCCCAGTAGGGGGTGTGCAAGAGGCAGCTGATTGATGATTCTCTCTCATCGATGTTTCTAACTCTTTATCCCTTTCCCTTCCTCTCTGTAAAAAAATCAATAAAATATATTAAAAAGAAAAGAAAAGAAAAGAAAAGAATGCATTCTAGTGAGTGTTATGTGAGAAGTGTTTGTAAAATGCATTGGGAATAGAGAGACAGACTTATGGAAGTTTAATGGTAGAGGTGATTTGGAGGTGAGTATTAGCTGTTTAAAGAAAGAACATTGGGGGTGGGAGTGGAGTAAGAGACCAACCAAAGGACTTGTATGCATACATGTAAGCATAACTAATGGACACAGACAGTAGGGGGTGAGGGCATGTGCTTGGGGTGGAAGTGGCTGGGGAGAGGTCAATGGGGGAAAAAGGAGACATATGTAATACTTTAAACAATAAAGAATTTAAATAAAAAATGATACCATATACGGACAATCCAGTAAAGAAAAAAAGAATATATTTCCTACCAAAAAAAAATGATTTGTATTTAAAGTTCAGAAAATTTAATTGAAAATAGATTAATATTTACAAGTTCTTCCAAACATACTTCAGAAGTTTTCCAATAACTGAATTGAGTATTTTATTTTTTATTTTTATTTATTTTTTTTAAAAAAGAGGTCATTTCTTTTTTTTAAAATATATTTTATTGATTTCTTTATAGAGAGGAAGGGGGAGGGATAGAGAGTTAGAAACATCGACCAGCTGCCTCTTGCACACCCCCTACTGCAGATGTGCCTGCAACCAATGTACATGCCTTGATCGGAATCGAACCCAGGACCTTTCAGTCCGCAGACCGACGCTCTATCCACTGAGCCAAACCGGTATCAGCTGAATTGAGTATTTTAAATTTTAATTAGCTAAGATAAATAAAATTTAAAATAAAAAAGAATATAATACAAGGTGGGCAAAAATAGGTATACAGTTGTGAGTACATGAAATACAGTTTATTCTTGTATTATTTGTTTTTATATTATTTTCCTTGCAAACAACTGTAAAGCTACTTATGCTCCACCCTGTATTTGAACTTGCCAGTTGTTCATGTTTCCCTTCCTAGCAGTGTGCAGGTTGAGAATGATGTCCAGGCACCCTTATCTAAATGTCAGTTGATCTGATTGACAGGCAGGAGAATAGAATAATGAATAGCATAGTTCCTAGAGCCAGACTGCTCAAGTTCAAATTTCTGTGGTGACCCCTGAATGGTATATAGTTCAGTGGTTAGAGTCAGGAGCCGTACTGCTTGCTTTCATAGACCAGTTAGGTCACTTACCAGTGGGGTGACCTTTGACAAGTTTGCTTATCTTCTCTGTGCCTCAATTAACTCATCTGCTAAATGAGGAAAATGACACTACTTAACTCATTGTTTTGAGGGTTAAATAAGTCAGTATAGCCGAAGCCGGTTTGGCTCAGTGGTAGAGGGTCGGTCTGCGGACTGAAAGGTCCCAGGTTCGATTCCGGTCAAGGGCATGTACATTGGTTGCGGGCACATCTCCAGTAGGGGGTGTGCAAGAGGCAGCTGGCAGATGTTTCTCTCTCATCGACATTTCTAGCTCTCTATCTCTCTCTCTTCCTCTCTGTTAAAAATCAATTAAAATATATTTAAAAAAAAGTAAGTCAGTATACTTAGTGCTTAGAATACTGTTGATCTATACTAATAGTATGTGCTCAAAAATTATTAGCCATTATTAAGGTGCCTGTGTGACATTTGGCAAATTACTTCTAAAAAATTCAGTGTAGTCATCTATAACAATATGATAATGTAATATTGTAATAATAACGGGTTGTTGTGAGGACTAAATGTGATAATATAAAGCATTTGGCAATGTCTGGCATTTAGGAAGTTCTTAATAAACATATTAGCTATTATTGTCATTGTTAGCAGGTAGATATGCAATCAACAAGATCAATTTTGTTAATAGTAGAGGTGATAAATGTAACGTAATGTGCTATACTATCATATATTAACTGCTAGAGGCCTGGTGCATGAAATTTGTGCACAGATGTGGTTCCTAGACCTGGCCTGTGATTGAAGCATGAGTGTCTGGTGTGGAAGGGCAGGTCCCAGCTGACCTCTGGGCCCTGGGCAGCACCTGGGCCCCTGGGCCCCCGTGCACCCTCTCCACCCCCTCCACCTGAGTCATGGTGTCTGGGTCCCCATGCAGAGATGCAGTGAGCACGACCAGATGCAGTGGGCCGGGGCACAGCCTGGGCCTCTGGGCAGTCCAGCAGTGCCGTATGGAAGCTTGGTGGGCAGTGCACTCTCTCCCAGCTGGCCTCACAGACCAACTCCTGAGTGGACTCATGCAGAGCCCGACTGGCCCTTGTGGTCCTGGTGGCTATGGCCTGGCTCACCCAGAAGAGGCCATGTGGGTGTGGGATGGGCTCCTTGTGGGTGCCCAGCACCTGAGCGCCCAATGCCAGTGCTGTGTTGCAGAAGCCCGCCATGTTCCGCACTGCCCCCTGGTGGTCAACACACATCATAGCGAGCAGTTGAACTGGTGGAAGGACTGCCCGAGGGGACAATTTGCATATTAGGCTTTTATTATATAGCATAGTGTACTACTTAATAGTATGGCTATAAACTTAATATAAATGTATAAGTATGCTCTACAAAGTTATTTCTCCCTTGATATTTCTTACTTTACAATTTATGTGGAAAGATGTAATTCTTTATAATTTTTAAAAATTGGAGTACAGCTCGGCCGGCTTGGCTCAGTAGTTGAGCATCGACCTATGGACCAGGAGGTCCCGGGTTTGATTCCTGGTCAGGGCACATGCCTGGGTTGTGGGCTCCATCCCCAGTGAGGGGCGTGCAGGAGGCAGCTGATCAATAATTCTCTCTCATCATTGATGTTTCTCTCTTTCCCTCTCCCTTCCTCTCTGAAATCAATAAAAATATATTAAAAAAATTGGAGTATAACTTAAACACAGAAGTGCGCATATAGATGTATAGCTTGAAGTTTCACAAACTAAACAAACCTGCATAATTAGGCTTGCTTACTTTAAAAATATTTAAAATCTGCTGAAACCTGTTTGGCTCAGTGGATAGAGCGTTGGCCTGGGGACTGAAAGGTCCCAGGTTCGATTCCGGTCAAGGGCATGTATGTTGGTTGCGGGCACATCCCCAGTAAGGGCTGTGCAAGAGGCAGTTGATTGATGTTTCTCCTTCATCGATGTTTCCAACTCTCTATCCCTCTCTCTTCCTCTCTGTAAAAAAATCAATAAAATGTATTAAAAAATATTTAAAATCTAATACAGTGAGTAGTTTGCAAACAAATGGGGCAACAATAAAGACAAACAGTGTAAGAAAAAGGCAGGTAAAAGCTCCAGGAAGACACCATCTGCTATGAAAACAGCTGTCACCAGGGCGGAGTGGGACTTGACAATAAAGGAGACTTACGCGGTCACTCTGTTTATTGATTTTCAGTTTTCTGAGTCAATCCCAGGATGCATTAGAGAAGCCTTAAAAGCAGGGATATAAATGTCATCAGCTTTCAAAAAACGATTCATGATGTAGAGGGGCTAGAGAGGAAGGAGGGAGATAGAACCCAAGTTTACGCTGTGATGCAGCCACAGATACTGTTACTATGGTCAGGCCCTGCTCAATGACGGGGATGCATTCTGTATGTTCTGAGACATTCATCGTCAGGCAATTTGTTTGTTGTGCGAATACCTTGGAGTGCACTTGCACCCACATAGATGGTACAGCCGACTACACACCTGTGGCACAGCCTATTGCTCTAGCTACAGGCCTGCACAGCCTGTAACTATCAAACAACACGAGATTACATTAAGGACAAGAAAAAATGATGCAATCAAGAAACCCAGTAAACACGAAATGTATGAGGCTGCTGTTGACATAACACAACATTGTGTTTTATAGCAAACACTTTAAAAATATATATACTTTATTGATTTTTTTTTTTTTTACAGAGAGGAAGGGAGAGAGAGAGAAACATCATTGAGAGAGAAACATCGGTCAGCTGCCTCCTGCACACTCCCTACTGGGGATGTGCCTACAACCAAGGTACATGCCCTTGGCCGGAATCGAACCCGGGACCTTTCAGTCTGCAGGCCGACCAGTTAGGGCACAGCAAACATTTTTTATAAGTAGAAAGTGTAGACTAGAAAATAACAATAAAAACTCTAGTGTACTAAATACATAAACCAATGACATAGTTTGTTATTACCATTATCAAGTATTTTGTGCTATACCTAATTGTGTGTGTAACATAATTTAACATCTGTATACACTACAAAGTGATTACTCCTGAAGTCTAGTTACTATCCATCACCCCTTCACCCCTTTGTTCACTCCATGCCCCCTTGTCCTCTGGTAACCACTGGTCTATTTTCTGTCTGTATAGGTTTGTTTTTGTTTTATTTTTTTATATGTGAATTTTTTTCATATGAGTGAGGTATTTGCCTTTTCCCTTTTGC